CTGTCAATTTCCCGTGCGTAATACAAAATGACTGAAAAACGGCAAACTTCGCAAGGCTATATTATCCGCATTTTACAACAATTCGCAACGAAACTTTGGAATATTACTAATTTTGTGATGCTCTTTCAAGCTGTGATGAAATTTTTGTCTAGATAAAAATTTAGTCTATAATGCAAATGGTCCATTAAATAAATCATTACTGTTTATATTTCTCTCTAGTTTTCTCAGCTTCCTTCTACTTTTTATCCTGGTATTTGTACAAACCAGAAGAGCAGTCAAAATCTGGAGATGTTATCAAAGATCCTGAGGCCTTAGAAAATGGCAAAGAAACTAAAGTGTAGCTAGACAGCATGAACACAGGCACAGCATTTTAAACACATATGACATATACTACGCCAATTAATATGTGTAAAACACGCAATTTTTACTTATTTCATATATCACATACGGTAATTGAGCATATATACTCGGTAATATCACAGAGAAAAGATATACCAGAGAGGAAACATGCGGCAAATTGTGTCACGCCGATATATTCAGTCTATTTACTATAGAAAACTATATTAATTCGCTATTTTATTAAATTTTGACCATGCAGAGGAAAAACTATACGTATTATAGAAGTAAACATGTTTTTTTATGCAAGAGTTATATTTTGAGGCATTTATATCATTTGCTGCTTCGTTTTTTTATATATGAGCATCTGAAACCTCCAGCCAGTGCTTTTCACGATTTTAATAAGGAATAGATAGGGGGAAAAAACTTTTGCAAAATAATAATTTTTAATAAAAAGAAATCAATAAAAGTGATCCCTTACCGTTATTCTACAAGAATTTATTGAACAAAACTTCCATGGGTATCTCATTTTTTTAAAAAAAGCGATTTTCACCTTTCGAACGGTGTTTTCCCTATCGTTTGCTATGAAATTTCAGCGACGGCACTGGCTGGAAGATTTTGCGTGGCGCGTGGAACCTGCGTGGAACGCGTGACACAAAAATTCACGTTATCGAGGTGTCTGTTCCTCTCTGATATATCTTTACTCTGTGGTAATATACGAAGACAATTGACATATATCACAGGTGAACAAATTCATCATATACTCATCATTTTTACATAACCCATACATCCATACTCAGATGTATACAAACTGTAATGGCAATTTTATTGTATATAGGAAAATACATTGTTCAAATGTCTGCACGGATGTGGCCCATAAATCTTCCCGTTATGTATGAGTCAATTCGTACTGTTACCATCCCCCCCGGGAAACCCGGGAACATTGCATAAGAGAATATCCCAGGGTGGGAAATTGTCAAACGGAGGTTATCCCCAGGGGTATAGGGCGGGGCAAAGACGAGATCTAGCAAAGACGAGAAGTAAATGGGAGCCTGGTAACTAAACATCTTTCAAAATGGTGCGATGAAAAATGTGGAAGAATTTCCCAATTATACGTTATTTAACATCAAGGGAATGAATATATATTTGCAGTTGTGTTAAATAGTTTGTCTCACAAATTTTCTTGTACTTTTTTAGTATTGCTCCGGGATGGGGAATTCGCAAACTTCTAAGTCCCAGGGGTAGGGGATTTGCTAACAACTAATGGAAATTACAAATCCCCGGGAATTTCCCGGGGGGGGGGGGATCGAAACAGTACGAATTGACTCATGCATTATTTCTGCTCGATATTTTCAGCGTTGCCAAGTCCGGGATTTTGTCCCGAGATCTCGGGATTTTTGAAGCAGTTGGGATTTTTTTGGAATTTTTATTTTTAAAAGTCAATCTAGGGATTTTGGGGGAATTTTTTGAGAAAGGGAAGTTTGAAATTTAGGAATCGATTTTTTGGTAAACTTAAAAGGTTAACCTTTACGACTTTTTGGCAATTTTTGGCCTATTTTAAAGAAACAAATAAACGGTCTTAAAGCAAGTGTAGGCGCGATGCTCTAAGTAAGGACGAAGTGTTGCAAGTGCGTAAAGCCAGGATCGATTCCTGCTGTAGACAAAAAGCATTTTAATATCAGGCATCGATCGTTGTTAATTAATTCCACCCAAGCCGAGAAAGTGTTAAGTAGAATAAAAAAGGATTTAAAGCATGTGTAGGCGAGTTGGTATAGTGGTAAAGACGAAGTGTCGCAATTGTCTGAAGCCAGGATCGATTCCTGGTTGTCTAAAAATCATGGGCCAAAATTGGGCCTCAACAAGTGTATGCATTAATATCATGCAACCTAATTTATCATTATATACCGTTTCGAACCTGGCCCCTGTAGCAGAAACTTGAATTTACCACGTTCTGAAAATTGTATTCTTGGAATCCACGGTCCATAGGCTTTCTGTTGACGCCTTACTCGTGCATCACGAGACGTCCGTGGACATACAAAGCAGGTTTTTCCAGCTGCAGGTATAATCGAAAAAGACGTGAAAGTTAATATTATGCCGTTTCGAACCTTGTGTTCTATTGAATTTCAAGGGCCCTGTAGCAGAAACGTGAATTTACCACGGTCTGAAAATTGTATTTTTCGAATCTACGGGCCATTGGCTTTCTGTCGGTGCCTTATTCGTGTATCACCAGATAGTCCATGAAGATAAAAAGCAGGTTATTCCAGGTGCATAATCGAAAAAGACGTGAAAGTTAATATTATATAAGTTAAGGTTAGGGTTAGGGCTGTTTCGACCTTGATGTTCAATTGAATTTCAAGGCCTCTGTAGCGGAAACGTGAATTTACGCCGGTCTGAAAATTGTATTTGTAGAATCTACGGTCCATATAGGCTTTCTGCCGATGCCTTACTCGTGTATCAACAGACAATCCATGAAGATACAAAGCAGGTTATTCCGGCCAGGTACATAATCGGAAAAGACGTGAAAGTTAATACTTTGCTGTTTCGAACCCGATGTTCTATCGAATTTCAAGGCCCTTGTAGCCGAGACTTCAATTTTGGCCAGCCTGAAAATTGTATTTCTGGAATCTACGATCCATAAGCTTTCTGTCGATGCTTCATTCGTGCATCACTAGGCCGGACGTGGAGATAAAAAGCAGTTTTTTCCAGCTGTGTAATCGAAAAAGACGTGAAAGTTAATATTATATAAGTGAGGGTTAGGGTTTAGGCTGTTTCGAATCTGATGTTCTATTGAATTTCAACGTCGCTGTAGCGGAATCGTCAGTGAATTTACGCCGGTCTGAAAATTGTATTTTTAGAATCTACGGTCCATAGGCTTTCTGTCGACGCCTTTCTCGTGTATCAATATCCAGTCCATGAAGACACAAAGCAGGTTATTCCAAGTGAATAATCGAAAAAGACGTGAAAGTTAATATTATCTGATGCGGTTTCGAAACTTGCGTTCTATAGAATGTCAAGGCCTCTGCAGCAGAAACTGGAATTAATCACGGTCTGAAAATTGTATTTTTGGAATCTACGCTCCATAAGCTTTCTATCGATGCCTTATTCGTGTATCACTAGACAGTCCATCAAGATAAAAAGCAGGTTATTCCAGGTGCATAATCGAGAAAGACATGAAAGTTAATATTATGCGGTTTCCAACCTGATGTTCTATCGACTTTCAAGGCCCTTGTAGCAGAGACTTCAATTTGGGCCAGCCTGAAAATTGTATTTCTGGGATCTACGATCCATAAGCTTTCTTTCAATGCCTCATTCGTGCATCAATAGGCCGGACGTGGAGATAAAAAGCAGTTTTTTCCAGCTGTGTAATCGAAAAAGACGTGAAAGTTAATATTATATAAGTGAGGGTTAGGGTTAAGTACTATTTAAAGCACGCGTCGTGTTTTATCACATATAAAACACGACGCGTAGCGGAGTGTTTTATATGTGATAAAACACGACTACAAGTGCTTTAAATGGCTTAAAAAACGACTCATCTTACACGAGTTCATTGGCGAAGTAATTTTTAAAATAAATTTTGTCTAAACCGAGAAAAACAAAGCTAAGGTTTATGTAAATTAACATGATTTTATATCACATATACAACCACGATACGCTTATGATTTTTCTTTGTGTTTTGTCCTGAATTATTAATGAGTTTTTTAAGGCTGTTTCGAATGTGATGTCTATTGAATTTCAAGCCCCTGTAGCGGAAACGTGAATTTACGCCGGTCTGAAAATCGTATTTTTAGAATCTACGGTCCATAGGCTTTCTGTCGACGCCACACTCGTGTATCAAAATACAGTCCATGAAGATACAAAGCAGGTTATTCCAAGTGAATAATCGAAAAGACGTGAAACTTAATATCATGCGGTTTCGAACATTGCGTTCTATTGCATTTCAAGGCCCCTGCAGCAGAAACTGGAATTTATCACGGTCTGAAAATTGTATTTTTGGAATCTACGGTCCATAAGCTTTCTATCGATGCCTTATTCGTGTATCACTAGACAGTCCATGAGATAAAAAGCAGGTTATTCCAGGCGCATAATCGAGAAAGACGTGAAAGTTACTATTATGCGGTTTCCAACCTGATGTTCTGTCGACTTTCAAGGCCCTTGTAGCAGAGATTTCAATTTCGGCCAGCCTGAAAATTGTATTTCTGGAATCTACGATCCATACGCTTTCTTTCGATGCCTCATTCGTGCATCACTAGGCCGGACGTGGAGATAAAAAGCAGTTTTTTTTCCAGCTGTGTAATCAAAAAAGACGCGAAAGTTAATATTATATAAGTGAGGGTTAGGGTTTGGCTGTTTCGAACCATGCGTTCTATTGAATTTCAAGGCCTCTGCAGCAGAAACTGGAATTTGTCACGGTCTGGAAATTGTATTTTACGAATCTCCGGTCAATTGGCTTTCTGTCGATGCCTTACTCTTGCATCAAAAGACAGTCCATGAAGATACAAAGCAGGTTATTCCAGGTGCATAATCGAAAAAGACGTGAAAGTTAATATTATGCGGTTTCGAACCTGACTGTTCTATCGACTTTCAAGGCCCTTGTAGCAGAGACTCGAATTTGGGCTAGCCTGAAAATTGTATTTTTGGAATCTACGAACCATAAGCTTTCTGTCGATGCCTCATTCGTGCATCACTAGGGCGGACGTGGAGATAAAAAGCAGTTTTTTCCAGCTGTGTAATAAAAAAAGACGTGAAAGTTAATATTATATAAGTGAGGGTTAGGGTTTGGCTGTTTCGAACCATGCGTTCTATTGAATTTCAAGGCCTCTGCAGCAGAAACTGGAATTTGTCACGGTCTGGAAATTGTATTTTACGAATCTCCGGTCAATTGGCTTTCTGTCGATGCCTTACTCTTGCATCAAAAGACAGTCCATGAAGATACAAAGCAGGTTATTCCAGGTGCATAATCGAAAAAGACGTGAAAGTTAATATTATGCGGTTTCGAACCTGACTGTTCTATCGACTTTCAAGGCCCTTGTAGCAGAGACTCGAATTTGGGCTAGCCTGAAAATTGTATTTTTGGAATCTACGAACCATAAGCTTTCTGTCGATGCCTCATTCGTGCATCACTAGGGCGGACGTGGAGATAAAAAGCAGTTTTTTCCAGCTGTGTAATAAAAAAAGACGTGAAAGTTAATATTATATAAGTGAGGGTTAGGGTTTGGCTGTTTCGAACCATGCGTTCTATTGAATTTCAAGGCCTCTGCAGCAGAAACTGGAATTTGTCACGGTCTGGAAATTGCATTTTCAGAATCTACGGTCCACCGGCTTTATGTCAATGACTTACTCATGCATCAAAAGACAGTTCATGACGATACAAAGCAGGTTATTCCAGGTGCATAATCGAAAAAGACGTGAAAGTTAATATTATGCAGTTTCGAACCTGATGTTCTATCGACTTTCAAGGCCCTTGTAGCAGAGACTCGAATTTGGGCTAGCCTGAGAATTGTATTTTTGGAATCTACGATCCATAAGCTTTCGGTCGATGCCTCATTCGTGCATCACTAGGCCGGACGTGGAGATAAAAAGCAGTTTCTTCCAGCTGTGTAATCAAAAAAGAACGTGAAAGTTAATATTATATAAGTGAGGGTTAGGGTTTGGCTGTTTCGAACCTTGCGTTCTATTGAATTTCAAGGCCTCTGCAGCAGAAACTGGAATTTGTCACGGTCTGGAAATTGTATTTTTAGAATCTCCGGTCCATAAGCTTTCTATCGATGCCTTACTCGTTCATCAAAAGACAGATGCAAAGCAGGTTATTCCAGGTGCATAATCGAGAAAGATGTGAAAGTTTATATTATGCGGTTTCGAACCTTGCGTTCTATTGAATTTCAAGGCCTCTGCAGCGGAAACTGGAATTTGGGCCAGACTGAAAATTGTATTTTTAGAATCTACGGTCCTATGCCTTCTGTCGATGCCTTACTCGTGCATCATTAGACGATAAAAAACAGGTTTTTACAGTTGCATGTATAGCCGAACAAGACGTGAAAGTTAATACAATTATATTCG